AGTTGCACTATCTTGGCTCACTGCAACCTCTGCCTCGTGGGTTCAAGCGACTCTCCCACCTCAGCCTCCCAAGTAGCTGGGATTACAGGTGTGCACCACCATGCCCAGCTAATTTTTGTATTTTTAGTAGAGACGGTTTCACCATGCTGGCCAGGCTGGTCTCAAACTCCTGACCGCAAGTGATCTGCCCGCCTCAGCCTCCCAAAGTGCTAGAATTACAGGCATGAGCCACCGCACTGGGCCCAGAATAATTTTTAAATGCAAAAAAAAAAAAAAGTCCAATCTTTTCTAAGTAGATGATAAATCAACAGTGACACAAATGAATTTCTATGTCCAAGATATTGTAACAGCCATATTGTATATATTATCCTATAATTAACATCAGTCAAATCCAATTTTAAACCACCTCTGATTAATTCAAGCACAAAACGTCAATACTAAAATAAATACAAGTAACTGCTTTTACATAATGGAAGCAAAAAGACTTTAGAAATACACTTACATCAACTCAAAATGTAAGTGGTACTCCCCGTTTCCCTGACAAAGGGGAGTTTTATAACATTATAGGGTTGGCTTTATAGCTCTCTACTTTGCTACCTAATAAGTAGGTTTCTTCATGTGCATGAACTATTGTCCTCAATCTCTAAAAAGTAGACTTGAGGTTTAATACAGCTTAAAATGATTAGACATGTACATGTCAAGAACTAACAATACACTTAAAAGTCAATGCACACATTTTGCATTTTTAAAAAGCCGCGTTTCATTCACAAAACATTAATTCATAAACTACGTAACAGCAAAGGTGAAGTTTTAATACAAACATGCTTTACAACTATCACCTCTTGGTTTCACTGTACACAGAAGGCTTCATTACCAAATAATTAAACTTCTAAAAAAATTGTCAGGCCAGGCCCCTGGCTCATACTTGTAATTCCAGCACTTTCACAGGCCAAGGTAGGAGGATTGCCTGAGTCCAGGAGTTTGAGGCAGGTCTGGGTAACATGGCAAAAACTCATCTCCAGTAAAGATACAAAAAATTAGCCAGGCACAGTGGGGCACACTTGTAGTCCCAGCTACTCAGGAGGCTGAGGCACGAGAATCACCTGAACTCAGGAGGCTGAGGCACGAGAATCAACTGAACCTAGGAGGTGGAGGCGGCAGCAAGCTGAGATCACACCACTGCCCTCCAGCCTGAGAGTGGGACCCAGTCTCAAAAAAATGAAAAAAGAAAAAAAATTTTTTAATTAAAATAAGCTAGAGAAGAACAAAGCAATGTGAGAATGAGTATTGTAAAAATAAGAACAAACCAAATGTCCATCAATTGGTGAATGTGTAAACAAATTATTATATATCTACACAATGGAATACTGCTCAGTAATTAAAAAGGAATAAACTATCGAAACTCCCAACAACAAAGATGGTTCTCAAAATAATTATGATGGCCAGGCATGGTGTGGCTCATGCCTGTAATACCAGCGCTTTGGGAGGCTAAGACAGGAGGATCGCTTGAGACCAGGAGTTCAAGAGCAGCCTGTATAACACAGCAAGATCCTCTCTAAAACAAAATAAAAATTTAAAAAAAAAAAATGATGATGATGATGATGATGATGATGAAAGAAGCCAGACTAACCCCTACCCCCTAAAAAGCACATACTCCAAGACTGCAGTTAGATAAAAACCTAGGAAATGCGGTCGGGCATGGTGGTTCACTCCTGTAATCCCAGCACTTTGGGAGGCCAAGGTAGGCAGACCATTTGAGGTCAGGAGTTCGAGACCAGCCTGACCAACATGGTGAAACCCCATCTCTACTAAAAATACAAAGAAAAATTAGCCGGGCATGGTGGAGGGTGCCTGTAATCCCAGTTACTTGGGAGGCTGAGGCAGGAGAATAGCTTGAACTCAGGAGGCGGAGGTTGCAGTGAGCCAAGATCGCACCATTGCGTTCTAGCCTGGGTGACAGAAAAAAAAAAAAAACCACCTAGGAAATGCAATGCAAACTTATCTACAGTGATAGATCAGAGGTTTCCTGGAAGAGGAGTGGCTGGAGGGATGACAAAGGGGCAAGAGGAAACTCTTTGGGGTGATGGATACCTTCATTATCTTGTTGAGGTGATGGTTTCACTGGCATAAACATATCAAATTGTACACTTCAATATGTGCATTAACTGTATAACAATTATACCTCAATAAAGCTATTTAAAAAACACAGAAAAAAAAAAAAATCCTCTTCCTGGCCTGGTATATTGTGTTTAGATCACCCTCTTTTCCAAACAAGCTCATATCCTGAAAAGTCACAGAACTGTAATACCTTTCCCCTGGTGATTTGCATGCATAAACAAAACCTTAAAACCCAGAAATTTAATTATAATAAAATTTAACAATAGTTAATTAATATTTACATGGCTGTGACTATGTGCTAGACACTATTACAAGCATTTTTCTTATATTAATTTATCTAACACTCACATCAACCCTATTTTACAGATGAGGAAACTGAGGTAATGAAGGGATAAGTTATCTGATCAAGGTCACAAAGCTGATAAACAGAGGAGCTAGAATTTGAACCCAGGGAGTCTAGCCCTAGAGTTAATCTCCTAACCCATCACGCTCTACTGCCACACACAATATAAGGGATGTTAACACAAGAAGCAACGAATATTGCACTTGTAAAATACTTTTCTTTCTCACACTCACAGAATATAAATATTCACTACAATTGGCAACACTACATGAAACTAAATAAAAAACAACAGTGGCCTTATTTTCTTTTCCCAATTAATAGATGGAGGGAGAAGCAGAAAGGCTGGACAACTTTCTTAGGACACAAAGCAAATAATTGGCAAGTTGACCAGTTACTGGGAAGCTGGTTCCTTACATTCTTAATCCAATTCTTTTCATGGTTTTCAAAATCCCGATTATTTTAAGTAACATCATAAGGGAGAGAAAATCGAACATAACAACAAAAAACGTAAAAGTTGTTTCTGTTTTCTCATACTCCTTACTGACTCCTTAATTTCATCCAGAGGGTCTCAATCTCTGCAGATACAGGTCTGGAGTCTGTTTTTAAAGCTCCCAGGTGAATGTTATGTGCAGCCAAGGTCGAGAACTCTTGATTTAGATTTCTCATTACAGAAAGACAGAGGGCGGCTGGGTGCGGTCGCTAATACCCGCTATCCTGCACTTTGACAGGCGGAGGCAGAAGGATGGCTTGAGCCCAGGAGTTGGAGGTTACAGTGAGCTATGATCCCGCCACTGCACTTCAGCCTGGGCAACAGGGTTATACCCTGTCTCAAAAAATAAAAACATATATGAAATAAAACAAAATGGGAAGACAGAAGAAAGCAAGGTGCCACAAAAAGCTTTGGTAAACCAAGGCCCACTGTTTTCCAAGTCAGTATTGAACTGCTGTCCACATGCAAACTTTTGAGTTCAACTTTTAATAAATTAAAAGCACATATGCATACAAGATATGAGAAAGCAAGAAGCACAGTAAACAACTTCTTTTAAAAAACGCAAGCCAGTGGTAAATTGGATGTTAAGACTTACAGAGAAAACCCTACATTTCGGATGTTATGTCATACAGAAGTTACATAAAAGTATATTGGGATGACAGAATCTCTTTTCAACTTTTTGGAATGCTAAATTGATGCCCAAACAACAAGTCAATGAACTAAAAGCACAGAAAAACCTGTCAAATATCCGCTGCATTTAGAACATGGAATAAATTGATAATACACTGTGAATCTGGTTAAGAAGCACGGGTTGAAGAAAGAATGGGCCAGGCCGGGCGCGGTATCTCACTCCTGTAATCCCAGGACTTTGGAGGTCGAGGCGGGTGGATCACCTGAGGTCAGCAGTTCGAGACCAGCCAGGCCAACACAGCGAAACTTCGTCTCTACTAAAAATACAAAAATTAGCCGGGGGTGATGGCGGCGCGCGCCTGTATTCCCAGCTACTGGGGACGCTGAGGCAGGAGAATTGCTCGAACCTGGCCGGGGGAGGGGGTTAGATGGCAGTGAGCCAAGATCGCGCCACTGCACTCCCACCCGGGCAACAGAATGAGATTCCATCTAAGGGAAACAAACAAACAAAAAAAAGAAAGCAAAAAGAAAGAAAGGGCTGTATCTTTAGCCCATGCCCTGAATCAATGTTCCTTGAACTTTAAGGTGCCCTTCTTGAGGAAGATTCTGATTCAGCAGCTCTGGAGTGAGGCATGAAGTGTAATTCTAACAAGCTCCCAGAGGATGCTGATGCTGCTGGTAGGTGGACCAAACTTTAAACAACAAGGCCCTAAGTAACTGGAATATTGGTTGTAACACTAGCCAACTGGCTTACAAATATCGTTATGTCTAGGATCCAAGAAGTAAGTGTCAATACCATTAATTCCTACTCCCGGCCAAAAAAAATTAAAAACTAAAACTAAAAAACAGGGTTCAGGGGAAGGAGAAAGCAAATACTTGTCTAGCAGTGCTAAGAACCATAAAATACTGTTATTTGTCTCAACCTAGTAGATGTCAAGGTGATAAAGTGTAGGCTCCATGAGTTAATTTTTAGTTAACTGCTGAATCCTTATGGCCTAGCACAAACTAGGTACTCAAGAAATGCACTGAATAGATGAATGAATGGGAAGTATATACAAACGCAATCTGTATTTACGTCACATCCCCAAAAATGTCTGGGAAGGGGGAGGTATTTGTACTTCTGGATGCAGGTAGCCATGATTTGATACAAATACCTGGCCCATCTACTGCATTCCCTTTCTCCGAAGATAAAGTTAACTTCCCTGAATAGTATTTCCACCTTAAAGCCCATGCTCATGGCACCCTGATGTTTAGCAACTTTTTGGCTTTTTGAAAACAATGAAGAAAGGTGGAAGTAGAGGGAGAAGGATTCGGAAAAGTCTCAAAAACTCAAAGCAAAAAACCAGGAGGGAGGAGATGGACAGACAGTTCAGTTCACTTGAAGGAACATCTGAGGTTGTCAGAGGTCCATGTGCTTACCTATGATGGTGGCGGGGTTTGGGCTCGGACTTTTATATGTTTTGTTACTGTCCAGGGTCACTGGTGGAGTAGTACCTGGCTGTGGGAACTCGGACTACACAGGTAGCCGGCGCTGCAGCCAACCTTCAGAAGCTTACAGGAAGCACTTTCGCGCCTACTTCCTACTTCCCAGGGTCTTCGCGCGCTTTTGTGAACTCAGCCGCCGCCCAAACACAAGATGATCTGGGCAGCTTCGCTGTTGGGTTGAGGCCACCGCCAGGATTTAAGATGGCAGCGAAACACTTCGATGGCCCGTGGAATCTGCCCAAAAGAAAAATGGCCTCTGTTCAGAATATCGCGGCTTTCAAAGTGGGCCCAAAACAAAAATGGCGCCGGACGCAGGCTATGTAAAGGCTGGGAACCCAATGACTATGATTAGCAAGTAACGAATCACGGTAACTCACAGTGCTAGCAGTTAAACTGATCGAGAGAAAAAAACCACTTTTCTGTGGTATGTCTTCTTAACATTGGAAAATGACTAGTTCAAGAATGAAACATATATTCGGTGCGAAAGATTATGGGAAAAGAAAGATAGCTTTCACAGTGCCGGATAAACTTTAATGAAAATAGCCATGTTTGAACATAACTTCCTCGATTTTTTTTTTAATGTTAAAAGAGAATAAAAGGTTTGTCCTGGAACCCAGAAGCAGGATGGGGAAATAACGGATGAATTATCTAAGCTATGAAGAGTACCGAGCTGTAAAAGTCCTCGCTTCCGGGTCAGCCCTCAAGAAGAACTGAGGGCGGATGCTTTAGTAGAAGGCAACTAGCTCTCACGGCGCATGTCCATTCTCCAAACCCGATCCCGGAAGTTACTGGAGGGTAACTCCTGATTTTCGAGACAACCGCACAGAGAGGCGGGATACTGGCGCTGAGTCAAAAATCCAAGCGTTTTGTGATTGGTCATGTCAGGCCAAAGAGCAGAGGGTAGTGGACTACTTCTTTCATTCATTCAGTAAATCATTGTTAAGCGCTCACCAGAAGGCAGAAGCTGTACCATTTTGATATGTTATTTAAATTGTATGCGTTCTTTTAAAATTTCATTTTCAACTATTTGCTCGAATATACACTGAATAAACTTCGCTCCCCGTTTTTTCCGGTGACGGCCGCAGTTGACTGGAGCTTCATGGAAAACCCGGAGAAGCGGAGTGCGGGCGGCCCGGCGCCGACCGCAGAGCTGCGCGTGCTCCGTGCCCCAGCGCTACGCGAAGGTTGCCGGGATCCGCGGCAGTAGCGGCGGCTTGAGATCTGTCTCTGGGGCCTGCTGGCGGCGGCCTGGGGCGGCGCGGCGGCTGGTGGGCAGGTGAGAGCGCTGGAACTTTAGGTGGAAAAGCCCGCTTTCTGACCGGCCGAAGAGAGGGGAAGGGGCTTGTAGGCGCCTCCCTCTCCACCCCCAAAGGTCGCCGGTGTCCTCACTGAAGGATATTTGAGGGCGGGGACAAGGAGGAGGCTGGCTCTCTGTAGGAGGCGAAAGACCGACCTCTGAAATAGCTGCCGATGGTAAATGTTGCGGTAGGCACGGATGCGGGCGGCGAGGAGGTCTTCTACACCGGACCTGTGACTTCCCGTCCCGTCTCTCGCTGGGAGGAGCCCCGTGTGCCCCCCCGTGACTGTCTGAAGGGTGCACGGTGTACCCCAGGCTGTCGGGAGGTGGGGACGGCGTTCCGACGGCGTCAGAGCCGTTGTGCAGCATGGCCCTGCCAGCTGCGTGAAAGCAGCCGCGGGGCTTGCAGGGCTGTGGATCTTGTAGGGATGACCCTCTAAGGTCATGCTTATCTTCCTCCCAGATGATACTCAAATCCTGTTTCAGAGACTCTCAATATCACGGTTTCATTTCATTCATTCATTAACATCGTCAATTTATCCATGAACAGATATACACGTGTCTACAGCACTGCCGAGTTAGTAGATACAGCAGTGACCAAGATGGACGTGCAGGGTCCTGACTCCTTGTTCTAGTTATGGGGGATAAACAATACTCTCCCTATCCATGAGTTCCGCATCTGTGAATTCAACGAACTGCGGATAGAAAATATTCTGGGTCGGTGGGGTTTGGTGACTCACGCCTGTAATCCCAGCACTTTAGGAGCCCGAGGCGGGCGGATCACTGGAGTCAGGAGTTTGAGGCCAGCCAGGCCAACGTGGGCGAAACCCGGTCTCTACTAAAAGTACAGAAAAATGAACCGGGCGCAGAGGAGCGTGCCTGTAATCCCAGCTACTTGGGAGGCTGAGGCAGGAGAATCACTTGAGCTCTGGAGGCGGAGATTGCAGAAAGCCAAGATCGTGCCACTGCATTCCAGATTGGGCGACAGAGACTCTATTTTAAAAAATAAACAAAAATATTCTGGGGGAAAAAATGATGGTTACATCTGTACTGAACACGTGCAGACCTTTTTTCTTGTCATTCCCTAAACACTGCAGTGTAACAACTACTTAAATAGCATTTAACATTGTATTAGGTATTATAAGTACTCTAGAGATGATTCAAGGTACATGGAAGGATTTGGTAAGTTGTATACAAATACTACACTTTTTTTTTTTTTTGACAAAGAGTCTCGCCCTGTTGCCCAGGCTGGAGTGCGGTGGCTGATCTCCGCTCACTCTGCAACCTCTGCCCCCCACCGAATTCAAGCATTTCTCCCTTCCTCAGCCTCCCGAGTAGTTTGGGATTACAGGCACCCGCCACCGCGCCTGGCTAATTTTTGTATTTTTTAGCAGAGATAGCCTTTCGCCATGTTGGCCAGACTCGTCTTGAACTCTTGACCCTAGGTGATCCACCTGCCTCGGCCTCCCAAAGTGCTAAGATTACAGGCGTGACCCACGACATCTGGCCTAATAAACAATTTTTAAATCAGGGACCTAAGCATCTGGATTTGGGTATCCATCATGGGTCCTGGATGCAGTCCCCCAGATGCTGAGAGGTGATTGTACCTTGATATTGAACAAGATGTTTCTAGATTGTCCTAGGTTGGGTTTCCTGAGAATCAGACTCTGAGGAGATTTGGAGGCAGGACATTTACTAGAGAAGACTTTTTGGATGATTACCAAGGAAGAAAGGAAGCAGGATTGGGCAGATAGAAAAAGTTAGGCTGCAGTGAAGTCTCAAGGATGTTCTCCACCGATCCCACAGGAACTCTAGTGCTGGGCTGGGCCTTCACAGTTAAAGGGAAGGGCCAGGCCTTTATACCCCTTGACTGATCTGTCGTTGGATGTCTGTTGCCCTGGAAAGGGCCTAACTTCAACTCTCTTCAGCCAAATCAATCATGGACAGAGGCTGGCCCTTGAGGTCTGTCTCAGCACTTCCAGGATCTGGAGAAATAAGCCTTTCATTCCTTAGAAGGGTCAGGGTGGCACATCACAGCATTCACCACAAAGGTAGGGCTTTGAAGGAAACACATGTGCTAGAGAATAATGGGGAGGGAGAGGGAAAACACTTAGGTTAAGTGCTCAGAGAAAGGCTCTCTGAGTAGGTGACATCTGAACTAAGAGCTGAAGCAGAAGAATAAGCCATCCTCTGTGGAACAAAGGGAACAAGATTCTCTACTTTTCTGCTATGCACTAGGAATATAGCAGAGAAGACAAGTGGCTGCTACCTTCTGTTACAGTGGGTGGCAGTGACTAGTTTTTCTAGATCTTGAGTCCCTGCAGTAACTAAAGATGGAGTAAGTAAAAATGGATTGAGACTAATTCAGAGGAGGATAGAGGAAAAAATGAGAACTACAATTTTGAAAAATGAGTCAACTTGGTAAAGACTTGATCTATACAGTTTTTTGGGGGGAGTTTGGTTTGGTTTTTTGATCCTATACAGCATTGAACTATGTTTTATTAAGATTGTCCCATTTTCTTCTCAAACCTGTATTCTCCTTGAGGACAAGAATCATGCCTTACTCTTCTCGGTAGTTCCCCCCTGAGCCTAAAAGTCTTGCTAGCATAATAGACACTACGTGAGCATTTGGATAGAATTAATCTCATACATATTTGAAGTGAAAATTGCTAATCCCTAAATGATGTGAACGTGGGATACATGACTGTGTTTGGATTTGTCTTTACAATATTTCCTCGCCTTATAAGTTAGAACCCAATTTTAGTCAAAATATTCGATGATAATATGTAATTGCTTCGATCAAGCAGGAACCTCCAGGGGTGCCTATTTTTATATATGATTTGTATAAGATAATATACTCCCGATAAAAGTAATGGCTGCCGTGTACTGAGCACTTCCCACATGCTAGGCACTGCACTAAGCTATGAATGTATATCGTTGTCTTCATAATGTGGCCCCCTGTTTCAGATCATGATATTGAGGCAGGAGAGAAGTAATTTGTCCAAGACCATAACTAATTTGTGATGGGAGTTAGAATTTGATTCTCACCATTACTCAATGCTTTTGCTGTTGAGTGACCAACAGCATGTCTGAAAACATAGACCAAGTTTCAGTCATCATAAGATTCTCACATTTGATCACTTAGCTGCCCTATTAACTGTTATTAGAGAAATAAACCTGAAATTATTCACCCTGTCTTTGCTGCTTTGCTCTGTATCAGTTTTCTGACTTTCTTCATAGCTTTCCTGGCTCTGACTTTAGAAGCTTGACTATTATCTGTCCTGTAATATGCTAGAATCTGATTACCAGATTCACTCTACCCTAGTCAAACCCCAAAGACCTCAGAACCTCTCTCGAGACTCTGGGTATTTTTATTCATAACTAATGAACTGAAACTGCCCAAAGAAGCAGGCCCTGCTTTATGGGGACCGCTTCCCTTAGTTTGGGCATTAATTCTAATCCTCTCCTGTTCTTGCTATACTACAGGTTAATTCCAGTAATGTTTTTTTCGTTTTGACATAATCAAAATAATAATAATATCTAACAATTACTGAGCCCAGACTAAGTGCCAAGTATTGTGATAACTGCACAGCAAGCTTGTGATATGGACGATTTTATTCACATTGTACACATGATGGAACTGAAGCATAGTGAGATTAAGTGACTCATCCAAGGCCACACAGCCAGTTGTAAAGTGGTAAGTAAAGATTCAAAGCCAGGAAAGCCAGGTAGTATGAGTCCACAGCTCATCCCTTAGTCACTACATGACAATGCATTCTTAAAAATGATTTA